AAAAAAAAATAAATCAAATTTTTAAACGAAAATCTTAAAAGTATTGAGACTTTAAATTTTTAAACCCGGGCTACAAATGAAGCCCCCCTGGACGCTCCCCGGATGCCCTCTAAACTAGAACAAATCCGGGAAACCCCGGACGGATGGCAACCCCATTTGAATGGAGTAATCTCTCGCGGAGTCCTATAAAATTTTTGGAATCGTATTTTAGTTACAATTCTATTTTACTTCATGATAATCAATTTTCTGTATTTCATATATTAACTTCAGGAATCCATTTCCTAAACTTTACGTATGTTCTATAAATAAATAAATAAATGTATTTTAATAGTGAAGAACAATTGTTAACTTTGCCTTTGGTATAGATAGTTATTTTTTATTGATACCGTTTGTTAACATTCATTAGACCTTTACTTAACATTTAAAAGCTCCTTAGTAAAATTTATTGTTAATGTACCATCTATTATATTCTATTCAACATTGACTTACAATTAAATTAAGCTATAAAAATGTCAATGTTATTGATTTTGGGGTAGTTGATCGATGATATTGTAGCACTTAGTTAATATTTCCACTGCTTTACAAGAGACTCCACAAAACACTAATTTCTGCGGCAGTTTAATAGAAAATGCGTTTGTTGGGCCCTCGTTTATATTGTGTATATGGAGTATTTCGCGTAAAATGTTAGGTTTTCCAATCGAGGTTTCCACTTATATGGAATGTTCGGAAATGTATGGGGCTTCTATTGGATACGTGCATGAAACAAACGATTGCCTTCTTCAGTCGCTATTTTATTATCTGCTTCCCGGAATAGAAAGTAAACTGACAGAACTTTTTTTAATTTCCTTTTTTAACTTAAATGATAGTGGTTTATGTAGGACAGGAATAAATTATTAACTCAATGATTTTACATTAATGCCATAAGAAATGGAATAAAAATAACAAAAACAAATTTTATTACCGTTCAGTAACTACTAATTTTTTACATATTGCGTAAAACTAGATAAAGTCGTTGCTTTTTCATATTTAGAGAGTCGGCCGACTCAGAATGAAAAAAGCGCTAATATAGAGATATAAAACAAGGAAAAGCCCAGTGGGTGGGGTCGCTTCTATCAAAACAAATAACTTTTGTGCTCGAGATTAGTGGATATGAAACGTGAACGGTGGACGTTGTTGAAAAGAAAAAGTTTGACTTTTCCCGTTATAGTAGGATGCTAAAAGTAAAAAGGATAGAAAAGACTAGAAATGACAAGGGATTCGAATGAGTAGGATAACAGAGGGCCTTACGGAGTATAGAAATATGTTTCGTCATCAAAGTTGAATTAATTTATGGGAAATGGTGGGGTGTTACAGTCGAAAAGACTTTTCCTAGATAAAGTGCCATAAAATGTGAACAGCGTGTCTTTGTTCGATCTAAAATAGGCGTAGGCAATGGCGGTGCTTCGGCTGCTGGCTTGCACAAAGTTAATTAAGAATTTGTTTAGGAATACCCAATTAACCGACAGTAAATTTTCATCAAGCATTCATGCAGGTATGAAATACGAGCGAAGTCTGCTTCAGCTATAACGTGATTTACAACAACACAATGCGCGTTTTATGACCTATCATTCTGGGGATTATAATATAAGTTTTAACTGCTCTCTAGCGTCCCTGAATGCAACTAATATGTGCCGTTGGCAAAATAACCGTCGAATGTGCCTTTCGAATGGTTTGATTTGCGAAGGAACTTATACCATGAAAACTATTTTATATTTTGCATTGCTATATAGTAGACGAATTACGACAAAAGTGTTGCATTATCTTACTTACCATAGTGCCTACATACCTACCTACTTACTTAATGTGATTCTTTAGTACAACATAATCGTTTTTAATTGGATGAGGGTGGCGGAGGCATTAACGTTGTTTGAAAATAGGGTTGCCATCTCTAAAATTTGGAAACTAGGAGAAGACGCGTGAAAACCCCGGATTTTAGAGTTCAGAACCCGGACCTAAACATAGTCAGTGTAATAAAAAACAGTTGAAAATGTCATAAATCACCTTTTTATTGATTTTCAGATCATAAAATTAAATTTAGTCATTTTTTATCATCATTTTAAATGTACCTAACAAAACAGANTAGGTTGGTAGGACACCTTCTGAGGCATGAAGGTCTAGTCAGAGACATATTAGAGGCAGAAACAGGAGTTAGGAGGGGTAGAGGTAGACGTAGATTAGATTACTGTTCGCAAATAGTTAAGGATGTGGGTTGTTCTAGTTTTAGGGAAGTGCGAAGTTTAGCTCAGGATAGGAAAGAGTGGAGGTACGTGACCAACCAGTCTTAGGACTGACGACCTTATGATGATGATGGTTAATCGTTAGTCCAGTTCTTGGATATTAAGATCATTTACTATGGATGATAACATTATTAAAAACGAAGACGTACCGGCCAAAGTGGAATAACTTGGATTACGCCAGGATACTACTTGCAGAGTACAATTTCAAAATTATTATCTTAGCATTTTTGGCGAAAAGCTCGTGCCGAATATCCTGCTCTTGCTAATCGAGCTTTAAAAATGCCAATGCCCTTTGCCACTACCTATAGATGTGAGAGTGGTTTTTCAACTTTGGTTAAACTGAAAGCAAAGTACAGAATCCTTCTAAATGCAAAATAATAGCAACCATCACACCAACTATCTTTACTTAATTTATTGTTTAGATATATAAAATTATAAGACTGATCTGCAATTTGGGATTATTAACGATATTTGTATTTGCTCGTGTTGTTTGTATTGATAACATTTTATGGCCGGGGTAAAATCAGTTTTCCTAATGGGTCACAGGGGTAACAATATTAAAAAGGTTAGGAACTATTGGTCTAGTGAGAGTAAATAGAGATGTACTTAGGTAGCTTTAGTTTCGGAGAAACGCGATGATTCGATTAACGAGTGTTTGGGTTGAAGACCCTATGATGCTGATGATTGTGTTTTAAAAAAGTAGAATATAAAATTAGAAAAATGTAGCAGATAACAGATAAGACAAAGAGACAAAGTAATTAAAAAAACGTTAATATTCTTTTTTATTTTCAGATTTGAACGACAGCTCCCGCTCCACTACCTACTAGTTAGTTGTTCGTCGTCCAGTGTAAAAAGATTCGTCCTTCACCAACAATAATAAATATTACTTCGTTTAATATTATTATTATTATAGTAGGTGTATTAGTGAAAAGTTTCTTGATAGATGAACCGTCTAATTCCAAAACATGACATTTTTTTCTAAATATTCTCATTTTTCTTATCACCTGTTTTAAATTTCTTATGATGCCTATCTACTACTAAAAACGAATATCCTTTAAACATATTTGGATTTTGGATAAGCGATAATGATACATGTACTGGAATTTTGTCACATTTCATAAGGAACAGGAATTAATATGTAAATATCTTATTGTGAAAACTCAAAAGCTAACTTTATTTCGACTATAAACCAATATTCAGAAAATACATATAATACAACATACATACAGGTTTACGCTGCGGCTGCTAGAACATACATATGTACATAGTTTAAAACCTCAAAACAGACTGTTGTTTAAAACGTATCAAATAATTTAAACAGCCCTAATTTCGGATACGTAACAGTCGTAAATAATATTCGTGGGTAGATAGTAAAAATATAAAATTATAAATATGTCGATGTTTATACAACTGTATGCACAATTGGTAAATATTGAACCAAATAAGATCATCATCATTTGAAAATTCTGTGGTTCGGCATTTATCTGCAGCAATAAACTTTACGAAGCAATATTTTCCGGATATGGATAATTGTCAGTTCTTGGATATTAAGATCATTAATAACATTATTAAAAACGAAGACGTAGCGGCCAAAGTGGAATATCTTGGACTACGCCAGAATACTACTTGCAGAGTAGAATTTGAAAATTATGATTTTAGTACATTTTGGCTAAAAGTTGGTGCTGAATATCCTGCTCCAGCTAACAGAGCTTTAAAAATGCCAATACCCTTTGCTACCACCTATAGATGTGAGAGTGGTTTTTCAACTTTGGTTACACTGAAAACAAAGACCAGAATCCTTCTAAATGTGGAACATGACTCAGGATGCGCTTTAAGCGATATTAAACCTAACATAAAAAAACTTGAAAAATGCAAAATGATACCAACCATCACACCAACTATCTTTACTTAATTTATTGTTTAGATATATAAAATTATAAGACTGATCTGCAATTTGGGATTATTAACGATATTTGTATTTGCTCGTGTTGTTTGTATTGATAACATTTTATGGCCGGGGTAAAATCAGTTTTCCTAATGGGTCACAGGGGTAACAATATTAAAAAGGTTAGGAACTATTGGTCTAGTGAGAGTAAATAGAGATGTACTTAGGTAGCTTTAGTTTCGGAGAAACGCGATGATTCGATTAACGAGTGTTTGGGTTGAAGACCCTATGATGCTGATGATTGTGTTTTAAAAAAGTAGAATATAAAATTAGAAAAATGTAGCAGATAACAGATAAGACAAAGAGACAAAGTAATTAAAAAAACGTTAATATTCTTTTTTATTTTCAGATTTGAACGACAGCTCCCGCTCCACTACCTACTAGTTAGTTGTTCGTCGTCCAGTGTAAAAAGATTCGTCCTTCACCAACAATAATAAATATTACTTCGTTTAATATTATTATTATTATAGTAGGTGTATTAGTGAAAAGTTTCTTGATAGATGAACCGTCTAATTCCAAAACATGACATTTTTTTCTAAATATTCTCATTTTTCTTATCACCTGTTTTAAATTTCTTATGATGCCTATCTACTACTAAAAACGAATATCCTTTAAACATATTTGGATTTTGGATAAGCGATAATGATACATGTACTGGAATTTTGTCACATTTCATAAGGAACAGGAATTAATATGTAAATATCTTATTGTGAAAACTCAAAAGCTAACTTTATTTCGACTATAAACCAATATTCAGAAAATACATATAATACAACATACATACAGGTTTACGCTGCGGCTGCTAGAACATACATATGTACATAGTTTAAAACCTCAAAACAGACTGTTGTTTAAAACGTATCAAATAATTTAAACAGCCCTAATTTCGGATACGTAACAGTCGTAAATAATATTTTCTGATAAATACATATAGGAATTTTTGATGTTTTTCGAAATTTTAAATTTATAACAAACTGAACGCTTACTTTTAATTTACTTGGTGAGATTATCAGGCTGAAAAGTTAAAGATATGTACTTCAGGATCAGATGGGGAAACTGAGCGAGATTTTTCCTTGACCCTGCTGATATTAACCTACTTCCCTTGTCATCCTGCAACTCACTTTCTACTTTTATGGGCCAGCAGCCGAGTAAGGGGTAATATTTATGTGGATATTGTTCCTTTCTTTATATCCTTTTCCCCAAGAGGTTTTTGTACGAAAAAGCGAGTGCCAGTACCACAAAATGCAGTTAAATGAAACGCTTTAAAATATTTTTCGTTTTGTTGATATCACTTTGCATTTAGCTTTATTACTATACAATAGGGACCTATAATTAGATAATTTAGCATACCTGTGTTTTTAGGTTTCACCAAGTACAAATTTGTTATACTTACAATCTAAAAATTAAACATAAATTATGTTACAATGTATGTAATGTTATTATTTTATTGTTATTAGAATGCGAATTTTTTTTTGTTAAATATCGAAACATAATATTGTATACTTCACGATGAATATAAATAACTTCTGCTGCTTTCTCTTAAACAATAGTGTAGAATTGAAAAATATTGAACTTTGTGCACAACTCAAAACCGAATTATATATAGATGGAAAACGAAACGTAGTTGTATGCATGTGCGCGCGCGTGTGTGTATGTGTGTCTGCGTGTGTAGATACAGGTGATGATAATGATAATTTCATGTTGTATTTCTGATTTGACGAGTATTTCTGATTTTTCTTTCGAATGTGAGGAAACGTTTCTTTGTAGATGTGGTACAGTTTAGCTGTTATTTCTCAATATAACGATATTGTGATAATCATACTTAATACCTATCGTGATACCGATTGTATGATCAAAGAAAATCCGAATTACTTTAATCATTAAGAATTTAGAATTGTAAGTATTAATATTATGTAAAATAATAACTAATGAAGTATTTCCTTTTGTGAAATACGTCTACTACATCATATTATAAATATTATACAATATCTATCACATGTAAATGTGCGTAGAACAGCAGTTCAATGTCTTCTGCTTCTTTGTTACTTGTATGTTTTTGCCTCAAATGTTCGTTGTCTATTTTTGATGTGATTATTGACTTTGAAATTCATTTAAAATATTCAATAAATGTACGTTACTTGAATTTCCATTCTTTTATTTAACAGCCAATTTAACAAAAATTATTTATTCCTGATTTGTATTACATGCAATCATTAAAGAGAAACATCATCTGAAAAATACGAAGTTGTTTATCAAGAAAAAATGCCGACAAAGAAATATGCAATATATAAATCAAAGAGATTAGAGATTTAACAGCACAATCAGAGGAAGATTATGGTATAGGAAAATTCCTATGAATACCATCTTTTCATATAACTAATAAAGTCCAATAAATAAATTGATATAAAAATAGGAGACGAAAAATTAGAAGAAGTTACGGATTTTAGATATCTAGGAAGTCAGATAAGTCAGGACGGATGGAGTAGTAGGGATATAAAGCAGAGGATAGCGCAGGGTCGTGTCGCCTTTAATAAAAAGAAGTCACTTCTATGTTTGCGAACGGTTAATTTAGAAAACCGAAAAAGGTTGTGGAAAAATGGACAGTGGGTGCGGCGGAAAAAAAAAAGGTTAGAAGCCTTCGAAATGTAGTGTTATAGGCGAATGATAAGGATAACGTGGGTAGAAAAGGTTAGAAATGAAGAGGTATTGGAAAGAATAGGAGAACAGAGGACTTTATACAAGTCAATAAGTAGTAAGCGAAATAGGTTGGTAGGACACCTTCTCAGGCATGAAGGTCTAGTTAGAGACATATTAGAGGCAGAAACAGGAGTTAGGAGGGTTAGAGGTAGACCTAGGTTAGATACTGTTTATAAATACTTAAGGATGCGGGTTGTTCTAATTTTAGGGAAATACGAAGTTTAGCTCAGGATAGGATAGAGTGGAGGTGCGTGTCCAACCAGTCTTAGGACTGACCACCTTATGATGATGAAATAAATTTAAATGTATGAGGATGTTACATTTTGCTGAAGAAGTTTTGAAAGTTTGATTATCTTGGAATAGTTTTTAGGAAAGCATCAGGAGATAATCTTAGATAGACGTAGAAATTTCGAGAATGCGTTCCCCATATGATGCAGAGGTCCTCTAATTATTCGATGATTCTCCTAACGAAAAGCAAACGTATGGTAGATATTCCCGTGTTGGTTGGAGTTGGCGAAACAAGGAAAGCCAAACACAGGTGGACGAACGTTACCCTCTTCGTTTAAAACCATTAAATAAACAAAATCCACAAGGACAAAGTCGCTGGTAAAGACTAGAATAAAAATGTATATAACAATTCAAATTAAAATTATAAAAAATTGATGTGATGGTCTCATGTATGGTTTTTAAGAGACAGATTGAAATGGTTTAATACGTATACACATTTGATGATGTATGACAGGTATCAAAAAAAGGGAAAAGGATCATAAAAAAATTAAATATGGATACCAAATAGAATTCCGTATTCTTCTTCTTTAAATTTCTAATCAATGTAACATTTTCAAAAATTAGTCATATGTTGCTACTTTTCGTTTTAGAAAATTTAAAGACCAGAAGAGTATAAAGTGAACAGGGCAGTTTATCAGATCTAGAGTAATTCTAAGTGGCAAAGAGATTATGCGGAGGTATCCAAAAGAATGAAAAAATGTGCTGATGTAATGTAAAGTCAATAATCCTTGTGGAAGTAGAAATACAGATAAAAAATTCAACGTAAGTATTGAAAAGACAAACAACTGCAACTTTGAAACATTTATCGAAGTAATATTTATTTCTGAAAGTGTTCAGGGCTCATATTGATTTACTTATTTGATATTTAATATCAATAAATTATTACAAAAAGCGTAGTGATATCCTTGTAGCTTGTAG